AGGCCGGAGCCAGTTGTGATCGCTGCCTCCAGTGGGTGCCGGTGGCATGTGCTGCTGGCACCGGGTCGTGTGCGTGTCAGTCTGTGCTGGGTCCTCCAGGCGGAGCTGGCCCCCTCCAGGCGGAGCTGGCCCGGTTGCTGCTTGCGGCTGGCCCCCTTTTCTGTGCAGGGGGGTCTGCCCAGGCCCCCAGGGTTGCATTGGTTCAGCCTGAAGCCCCTCCTTCCTCCTCTCCCTCCACCTGGGATGGTTCAGTCTAGGAAAGCGATTCCCAATCTGTGGTACGGGTACCACCAGTGGTATGCAGCCAGCCTGTCCATGGCACCTGTTACCAGATTTATTATCATTGCTTTGTAGGACAGAAATCTGCTGGTGGTACTGAAATTTGCTGGGGGTACTTAAGGTTGTATCATTTTAAATTGGTGGCATGCAATCTGTCAGTTTGGGAACTGCTGGCCTAGATGCCTACAGTCCTGTGCTGTACTGGTTCACGTCAGAACTCCCCTCCGTCCTGTGCAAGTGCTCCCTGCATGCCGTATATCCCGTGCTGTGTTAGTTTGGCCCAGTACACCACCTCTGTGCCCTCCACAGGTGCCCCCAGGCCTGTGCTGTGTTGGTTCAGCCCTGCATTTGCCCCCAGCCCCCTGCTGCCATGTCCCAGCCCCATGCTCACTCCACAGTCTCTTTCAGCGGGAGGTGGAGATCCTGATGTTCCTCAGTGCCATTGTGATGATGAAGAACCGCAGATCCAGTGAGTGTCTCCTGTTTCCCTCCTTGCAGCTCCTCTTCCATGCTCCTTGGCATGGGGCTGACTCTCTGTGCTGCCCTTGGGGTGGGCGATTTCCTCTGGATGCCCACAAGGCTGCCTGTGGGATGGCTGGGTCTCCACTTCATGCCCCCAGGACTGGTCTGTGGAACTGCTCTGGGAAGGAGGGTGGGCAGGCACAGAGCATGTGGTCAGAGGGCACAGGAGAAGTTGTGGAGGAATGGAGGGGGTCAGTTTGTGGTAGGGATGTGAAAGGTTAAATGATTAATTGTTTAACCAATAAGCCCAGTGATAACTAATTGGCTTACCGGTTATTGTTTAGCACGGGGCTGGGTACAATCTGGCAGGGAAGGGAAGCTGCCACTGCCCCAGCAGGAAGGGCAGGTGAGGGGGACTAGTATCCCTAGCTCATGAGGCTAACCAGAAAAACAGCGGGTAGTCTAATAACTCAACTCGTCAATTAAGTAATTACCTCTTCCTTCACAGGGGACTTCATGTGGGTTATGTTGTCTAGCTGTGGGCACAGCTCCCAGCAGCAGTTGTGTTACAATTGTTATGTTATTGATTAACCCAGGAGCAGGCAATTATCTTGGGTGGAGGGCCACTTGCTGAGTTTGGGCAAGCCATTGAGGGCTGCATGACAGGAAGCCGGGGCAGATAAATATAAATTTTCTAAATTTTTTTAGGGGCCCCATGGGCCAGATAGAATGGCCTGGCGGGCCGCATTTTGCCCACCCCTGTGTTTAACCATTTAACCAATATAATTAGAGAAGGTTAAAGGGATAGGGTTTTTTTGTTTGTTTTGTTTTAAAGGATGTTTACATCTCTAAACTATGGGGTGAGGTTTAGGGAGGTGATGGGACAATAAATATTGGGTCTGAATGGAAAGGCACTTGGCTAACGGGTGCAATACTACTGTTTCTCCTTCAAGCTTCTTGGCTTTCTCGTGTCCAGGGATGAGTGCCTGGCCCTCCTGCTGACCCCTGCCTCTCTGTCTCCCCCCAGTCACCATCGAGCAGCACATAGGGAACATCTTCATGTTCAGCAAAGTGGCCAATGCAATCCTCTTCTTCCGGCTGGACATCCGCATGGGGCTGCTGTACCTCACACTGTGCATAGGTGAGACCCAGGTCCCATTGGGGCTTCTGAAATGCCTTCTTTGAGAGAAGTCTGAACTGTGGCCTCTGGACAAAGTCCCTCTGCCTGTCAGCCCATTCCTTGGTTGTTGCTGTGGTGGCTGGGTCAGCAGGGGCGGGCTGGCCCCG